TAGTAGGGTTAATGAAGTGGTGGCCATCAAAGCCACACCAATCTTGGAATTTCAATAATCATTGCAAGTTTTCAGGTTAAAGGAAGGTCTATGGAGTAGAGCAAACCTAAAAATAAGCGATTGGGCATGTGACGCGAGCAATACAGTAGCCTTTTAAAAATGTCTCTGACACTGTTTCGGTGCCTAACTGCCATGCCACCCAAAGGAAGCACGAGGGCTGGGATACTGCCAGGTAGCTCAAGCCCAGACAGGGGAAGACGAGAGGCATAGGTCAGGTTCGAACCACAAAATTTCCGGTCAGTAAATTCACGCTCTAACCACTTGAGTTATTTCGCCATTGCTTGGGGGTCATCTAGAAAGTTACCAATTGTGTATGGTAAAAACGGAGAGGGCACCCATAAGCTGGGTACCACAGTATTGATGCCAACATCACTAAGATATTCAGGTCAAAAAAGCACAAACTTCGTTCTCTTTTATGATATTAAGCTACCTTGAAAACCGAACCACCGAGTTTTCTTTAAAGCAAGTTCTAAGGAATGCCAGCGCCACATTCATACCTTAGAACTAAACGTGTAGATGGTGGTTTACCCTTTTTTTTTGACTAGTTGTTAACTCGGCTGACGAGTTAGAGACCTCAAAGTACACTTTCCACGATACCCTTTTCCGGCACTGGACAACGCTTGCTAATTTATCCGTACTGTACTGTCCAAGAACGTCCGATATGTGTGAATTGTACTTTTGGAGACAAAATGGATTATTCAATATCCTAATGCCAAAACAAGGTCCGTAATATTATGTGATTTTACTCCGCTCCACAAAAAGCCGATACAGAACACTCCTTCTCGTACACGATGTGACACATGCTAACAGTCTCAATTCCAGACCAACTTTCAAGGAGACCCCCTGCGGTGCCAAATGAAATGTGATTCCTACTGTACCTCAGATGTTTACTCGTTCAGGTCGAGCTTCTGCCCTGTAGTTGATGTCAGTCTACTCGTAAAAGCTAGGAAGCCCTATACAGCGTCTCATGCTTGCTAGCAATAGTCAACAATGAGCATATCATGGTTCGCGACCTTCCGGCCAGTGTTTGAAATCTTAGTCGTTTGGGGAAGAAAGGGCAATCGTCATTGTGGGACGCTCATAGTTGGACCGAATACACTGTGTAACTTCTCATTCACTCACGGAGTTCACATCACATGGTCACGTGCCGATTGATCACACCACTGGTCAGCTGCTCGTGGTGGAACCCTAGTTGAGTCCTCAGCTAATATTGCTCAGAATTTGTTTTAATTGGCGATATTTCGCGGTTAACTGGGCTTTGTTCGATTGTCGGAACAAGTTCAGATTCGGTTATTTCTGTGAGAGTAATATTTATATAATAAAAAGAGAGCGACTCAAAATGCAAAAGCATATCGAAAATTAACTTCCTGAACCAAAAAACCAAGATTAACATGAAATTCGGAATTTCGTCAATTTAACGAAAAAGGGGAACTATTCCAAAATTTAAACCTTTGTGCGTAGGCCATGCGGATGGTTCCATCATCATCATCATCATCATCATCATCATCATCATCATCATCATCATCGTCATCATCATCCTCATCCTCATCATCATCGTCGTCGACAGCATGACACCAGTGTCCAAAACCGATGCTTCACTGCCGTAACGTATGGTTTTTGTTGGGCTCTTTTATTTCTGCCGGCAAAAACAAATCGATACAAGATCATCAATAACAAACCCCATCAGATTTGAACCGTTGAATGTTGTCTCGAGCGTGAAGCTGTGAGTAAGTTCGAACTCGCGCCAGAATACCACGCGACTTGTGGACTCCTTTTGGCGTTGGATGTTGAATCGGCAAGCGGTTAGAGAAAACTTGTCGGGAAGCTGTAATGCATTTTGATGTGGGAAATGTGAAGAAAGTTAAAACAATCCAAAATCAACCGCTGGTTATTCTGAATACTCAGTAAAATCCGATGAAAACTGGAGATGTTTTGGAAACTATGGACCAGCAGACCAGATGTTGTTTCATGGCTCCCTGCACGTGAAGCGTTCGCTTCAGTTTTCGTCACAGTCATCACGAACGACCCCCATTTTCAGGGTACTATCAGGAAGCTAGAAATAACAGATTGAATGCCGGAAGGGACTATCAAGCCTCGTTTTAATTCGTTTCATTTTCAACTAAGAACGGGATCTTCGAGTTAACTTTGGTAATCAAGCTGAGAGTATTAGAATCTTATTGCTTTTGGCTATAACTTCACCTTTTTAGATAATAAGGTGGGCATTCCCTCAACGAAGCAATGTCTCATTTATCGCAAGTGATCAAACTACATTTTCGTGATTTTGAAGGTCGTTCTAGAACCTTTTTGAAAAAAAAACGCATTTCGACAAAGACCTTTAAGAACTCAACTCATCTGAACTATCTCGGAAACTGTTCAGAGGAAGTACTTACCAGCTTGGAAAGCAGAAATGGAAGTACACGATCCTGTAATAAAGTAATTGGATTAACAACATCGGTGTTGTTTGGCGCCTTTCGAAGAGACTGATCGCATCCGTAGGTGAAGACATTGTTTCGTCGACTGTGTCCATGAAGGTCATAGTAGATGACGTCCTATAGCAAAGACAAAGACAAACAGATACAAGTAGTTTTTCCGTGAGACAACCACCACACCGAGGAAGGTGGTAGACCCTCCTGGGGGGGACAAACTCATCCAGAGGGCAGTTTATAAGATCTGCAGTCGTTTGATCAGTTTGTGAACAGCTTGTACGAGTGCCTTTTCACCGAGTTCGCCTTCTGATGTCAGCACGGATCAATTCAGACAGAATACGATTGTTTCTAATAGGTTTCATTTTTTGTCTAACAAGCAAACGTTCAGGGTTGATCAGTGACCCAAATTGCATCCGTTAGTAACCTTGGGGTCTTCCTGCTTTGTCGTGCTTGCTCATTCGAAACTCATGCCTAAATTAGTCTGAATAAAGTTAAGCTAAACTGTGCAATGTCTTGCGAGAAGAGCTCTACTGACCTTTATAGGAACTGGCCGTACGATGTTAACAGAGTAGCGCAATTACAATTCGACATCTTCTGGAAGATTACTGACCTGCAATATGAGTGCAAGCAATTGACAACAGCCCGCGGGCAATCAAATGCCGTATAATTAAGTCATCGGAATTGGTCTTTATGGGACATTAGACGCTCAAGACAAACAAGCGCCTAATTCAAAAGGTATTCCGTGCAGTATGCAACGATAGAACAATTCTAAATGAAGGTGCCCACAGACCCTTCCAGGATGTGCTGCGCAAACAATCCCTGGAATAAGCTTGCCATCACTTTTTTACTCGCCCCCGGAGCTCCGATGTATGTGTCATTGCGATGTCTGCTATCCTTTGGAAACCATACTGGGTCAACAATGCTGACGGCGTCTTACTCTCACAGGACCCTCAGATTTTTTCATTTCGGTGGTGCTCCAACTTGTGATCACGTCGTCATGGATCGCACTCCCTCAAAAAAGTGCACTTTTTTACCGCTTTCCCTCACTCCACCCTTCTCACCATTGTCTTCAGCTAAGCCATTAATACAGGCAAAGCGCCTTTCAACAAATGTAGCAACGGCAATCTGAAGATTGACCAACTACTACTGGCGTGCTTCATCAGTAGTGTACACCGCTACATTAGTTCTCAGTACTGATTGGCTCTTTTCAACGACCCTCCTGTATCCAGTAACGTACAATGTAGCGTCCACGAAAAGCAGCGGCCGATAAAAAGACACCCTAAGACAAAAACCGTAATGTCCGAGCATTTGAGTAATCAGGAATTCAAGAGAGTAGAATGGACTGGAACAGTAATTGAGCAACAATCAGACTCCGAACCTGCTCAGTTGTTCAAACCCGGTTTTCAGATTTTAAAAGTCGCTAGTGCATTGGTACGCATTTCAGCCTCATGCTATTCGAAATTGTTGTCCAGTCCTTGAAATATGATTAGGAAGAATAAAGTTTTTTCGGAGTCCAACTAAAGGAGCGTTTTGGGAGGTGTAGGCTGAGCGAGATGAATTTGTCTGGGATGGTTTTCATCTTGATACTGTCAGGAAGGTCAGATTCCGGAAGAAAATCTCAGAATGCCCGGGACCTACTGAGACCCTAAAACTCCATCAAAATCTCAATAGGGAAGCCGGCAAGCATCCAGACCAGTCAATCACTCAATCGATCAAACAAAAACGGATGAGTGTTCACACACGCCGCAGAAGCAGTACCAATTATGATTAGTGTTCAGGCATCTCATGGAAGCCCGGCCAATCTCGATGGGTGCTCAGCGAAAACCTTTCAGACAGCCTGAATCAATGTCAAATAAATAGTGCGAGGCCATTTTAATTTTTTTCACTCGCACGCTCTTGCTTGTTGCAATAAAGCTGTTGTGTTCTTGTCGGCAAGTCTTCCAGTGAAACTCGAGAAGGTGTTGCTCCATTGGGGACAGCATTTTACCTGTACCACATGTCACCTTGCGTTGTGCTAGTTATGTGGGAATTTCATCGTTAAATCGTGGCTATACCCGTCAATCCCAAAACCCAAGATGCGTCGCACATCCGACAGAAAAACACCTACGGTGTCAGTCTCATGATATCCAGCCTTTCGGATCATACAAGTAGAGCCGTCAACATAAAAATTTATTTGATACTTTGTTGTGGGTTCTCGTTCACCCCAAATGTGAGTCGATTCACATATTATCGCGTCAGTGTGTTCTAGTCCCACAGGCATCCAACAACTCATCAGTACTTAGTAAAGTGTTTGATGTGTCAGGATCGTGTAATGAACACTGCTCAGTCTGGATGCACCAGGATGCTCAGGAAACGGCAAATCAAGACTCAGTTTTATGGTAAGTTCAAACATTGCTTCTGAGTTTTCATTAAACTATAATTCTGTGGTCTGATTTGCGAACTATGGGCGGCAATCACAGCTCATCAACATGATTAGCACTCACTTATATTGGCATAATAAACACAACACTGTGGCTTCTGATCCGGTCGGTTGTTATTCAGTTTAGAATAAGTTGAAACATATTAAGTTTACAGTTGGCGTGCAAGTTCCCTCGTCACTGCAGTCGTCACAATCATACTGAAAAATGACGCCACTTTGTATAAGTGGAACCAAATCTGGGTTCATTCATGTTGGCAGTGAATGCTGTGAGAAGGAGCTGTTCAACGTAGGAAGCTGTTTCGTTGCACGCGATGGCCCAATGATTTCATCGACGTCGAATGGTTTTGTCTGTCCGGCGTGGTTGGAATTTGGATCTACATAGTGAACGCAGTAGCCATGACGCAAGGCCGCTATTGGCTGCGCGACGCAGCCACACCTCTCAGAACCACCCGATTGTCTCGTAATCCATCCCCATCCGGTAAGGTGGCCTTCACCAAAGCGACCAAGTTAACCGTTAAGGGGTTTCATGGTTAGTTGCGAGGTCGTAAACTAACCACTCCTGGGTCATTTCCATCCGACACAGTGCTTGGTGAAGAGAGCTGTGCGGAGCAAGCAATCTTCTAGCATACGAAGCACGTGACCTTACCAGCGTAACATGTGGATTGTGACCAGCTGACTCGTGCAGGGAGGGTGAACTTAACCAAAAACTATCTGACGTACTTCAGCATTATTGATTCGATTTTCCCGCCAGACTCGCGCAACGCTTCGGACGCATCTATGGCCATACACAGCTGTCTTGGATAATTATAGAAACCCACTAACCACACTCCAAGGAAACTGATGAAAATTGCTTCCGGAGCATTCACCGAGGAACGTATCTCAATGTCTCGAATGTCGCTCTAACTGAAATATCAAACGTTTAAGGCATTTGTTTACAGATTTATTTGATTTATTTATTATACGGCTATTGTACAGTTATGCAATTATTGTAGTTTGAACTCCAGAGTCTCACTTTATCACAACCGTAATTCGCAAATGGCTGTTTATCTCCACAATCAGGTCAGTTATTTCAACCAGTTTGGTTATGTTCTTTACATTATATATTTTATGTATTTTCACCTAACTAGATACACAAAAATTTGAAAAATGCTTGGCCAATTCTGACTCATGATTTACTCTTGTCATGACTTAGAAAGACGGCATTTCAATAGTCCTGTGATGAGTTTTGCTTTCGAATTTACTCCTTGTTTCCTGGTTTGCATCGAAAACGTATAATATCAATAGCTGTGCTCAATCGAAACAATTCATGCGTCCGCCAGGTCACTTTTGCACCGTTATTGCGATAAGATTTCGCATCAGTTTTCTCGCTAATCTTAAGAAGGGGCTCCAGTAAAGTTCTGAAATGAGTACTTCTCTAATGTGAGTATGCGTGAAAACAAAATACACCAAAGATTTATTTTTGTAGTTCACCATAAAAAAGGATCGACAGATCATTTATGCATAATCGAAACCTCGTACTTGTAGACTTCTGCTCATTTGCATTGACTCTAGCGTCAATCCAATCAATCGATTGCCTACGTCCAACCAGATCACGTGAACTACTTCACTTTGGAGGTCACGTGATCATAACCGCTGCAAAACGTTGCTCATTCACGGTGTAAATATGTGAGTGTATCTAGGTGCGTAAACTGAAGAAATGTGCAACGAACGAATGTCGAATACAGTCGTCTCCAAGATAATCGAAAACATTTCCAGGGGAATCACTTGTGACCGAGTCAACATTATCACCTATTCGAATCCTCGCATCGGCACGTGACGGATAAAGTAAAGTCGTTCGTTTAGAAAACACCGGTCCTTTTCTGCTTCATTTCTATCACGAAGGTCAGATTCCTGAAATCAACTTCTGAACGCCCGGAACCTACTGCTCCACCAAAAGCTCAACTGGAAAGCCGGCAAGCATCCAGGCCAGTCAATCATTCGATCAATTCAGTAAAACCTGATGAGTGTTCTCTGCGCCACAGAAGCACGACCGAATGTGATCAGCGTTCAGGCTTTTCACAGAGGCACGATCGATGTTGATGGGTGATCACTAACGCCTATCAGACAGCCTGGATCAATGTCAGAAAGTCCCCTTTAAATAGCGTGGGGCCGTTGTAACTTTTGCACTCGCACTCGCTCTCGCACTCGCACGCACTCACTCGCTTGTTCGGAATATAGCTGTTGTGTTCCCTTCTGTGAGTCTTTTCTCTCCGACACTAGGCACTGGAGCGGGTCAGCAGCAGATACCTGAGATTGACGAATCAGAAGATATAACAATTTCTTTCTAGCTTTTTTGCCCAACGGAGACATTGGCCCTATAACGGTTGTGAATAGTTTACCATCATACACGTGTGACAACTTGCAGCCCAAATTCATCGGTCCAGTATTTTCGGATTTTTGGCTTTTCACCAAAAATTCCGTGAAAGTCATGTGGTCAACAGTAGAATAAAACCTATCCAGGCCGGAGTCCATTGAATTCGATACTAAATTCCTGGTGCAAGATTATTCCTTTATTTTATTTTCTTTCCTTTATTTGAAAACATTGCCAACGAGAGATTTAGCTGGGTTCAGGACGGGTCTCCCGCAAATGAGTGTATTTTGCGAAATTCTAAATCCTTACAAAAGCATTCTGTGTACAGCCATCACGGGTTCGTTTGAGCTATCCTGAATGTACCTGAATAGGCAACAAAATCTTCGCCAGTATGTCAACTCATTCATCTCCGTTCCATCCAGTACTAGTAACTGAACGAATATGCATGTGTCCGCGCTTTTGCTGAACATCAAGTTGGGCCGTCGAACTATTCTACAACTGATAATGGTTTCGAAACTTTGATATGAATTCATTCTGCAAGCGAAGTGAATCTATTCCGGAGAGGGGGACATCACCCTACCGCTGCTTCATCACCTACAACCTCACCACCCATTGTTGAAGAATATGTTGGTCGTTCTTAGTTGTCCGTTGTGTTCCCGATTATGCTTCATAGTTTCATCCCCCTCGGCAGAAGTTCTTCCCAGCAATCATTGCGAATTGTTTATCCAGCGTCATTACAACAGACTCCATTTTGAGGAATGATGCATGTACTTCGTACGCGCTTCGAATGCATCCGTCAGTAACGATTCCGCGAAATCATTCGTGGGCTTTCGAAGACATTTCAGCAACTTTATGATTAGTGTGTTGCTCTTAACGACCAGGTAACAATGAGTCCTTCCAGAACCCACCGGTCGTGAGTGTCGTTTATGCAGCTTATGGAACTTTGCCAGACTCACAGCCTCAGCTAACAGCGCGCGGACCGACAACAAACCGAGCAGCCACAAAAACCGCTGTTCGATTTCGTTTCCATCAGTCAAGTCGACGTGCTGGTTGACTTCTAAACTACCATACTTGCCAAGTAGAACCAGATTTAATCCACTGAAAGTGACAGAGACAAGGAGAGAAGTAATAGTCTAATTTAGCATTCGCTCAGCCTTCTTAAGCCATCTTTGATCCCCCTGCCTTCTGCCTTCGAAATACCGAGAAGCACGGTAATTCTTCTACCGACGTTTCTGCTCTATGGGTTCACTAGTCTTTTTTGAAGAGTCAGAAGGCAGTTCACCACATTGGAACACATAAACAGGTGATATCGTGTCTCCGTTTGCGACACCTTTGAGGCCACTATAAAACGGTACCTCGTTTTTAACTAATATCGACATTGTGGCTTCGGTTCGCTTTCACTACGGCATGGATTTGATTGTACTAACCCCATTTGTAATAACAGAAGGGAATTTACAACACCAGGCAACACAACGGAGTGCGTTTTATAGAATGCGGGTAACTTAAATGTACTGCCAGCTTTACCCTCGTATCAGAGACTGGTCCCGGACTTACCATGTTTTTTAGTTTACATTGACGAAGCAACTCCCGAGTGTGCCATACGGTGGGGAACACGTCCTTTTGGGGTTTGCGATAGTTTCTATTCAAATCGTGACCGGTAACTGAACATCTGGAAGTAAGTAAATGAAGCCATTTGAGAATAAAGTGTTCCAGTTCTTTTTTTATTAGTATGTCTTCCATAAAGTTCCTTAGATGCTCCTAAGCCTTGGGTCTGTATGGGTGGAAGCAAAAAATCAATCACAGTTATTCCACGCACCGACAGATGTGCTCAGTTTCTCTTCTTTTCTGATGCATACTACTGTTTTGAGTTGGCTTGCAAACACCGATAGTGACGTCACTGAAGGACAACTTTGACATGAGGATCAAGTTCGTGACCATCTAGAGGGAAGTGGAGGCGTTCCTACTTAGTTTTCGTGTTCTAATTCACTTGCGTCACAACTCCGTTGTTGCTATTGTCGGCATGAAAAATCCAAGCACTGAGGAAGTGGATAGTACGACGTCAGGAGATACGGGCATTTATGCTAGGATAATTCTCAGTCTTTGGGCCAAACGTAGTTGCGAGGGAGCAGGTCGAAGCCGGTCTCAGAAGGCTTTCTTATGATATAAACAAGCTAACTGTAAGACCAATGAAGCTGTGAAATTGAGAAAGTCTGTTGATCACGTGAGGCCACCCCTGTCAGTAGCGTTACTTCACGAAGCGATTTAAAATGCCTGTTGCCCAGTCATGGGACCAATCGGTTGCATGCATATAGCACATGGGCCGTTGCGTACAAGCGAAGTTTTGACCTATAACCGAAGCGACAGTTCATTGAGCCGGCTGTTATTTGCCGAGACTTCCATGCGCTGTGTCTTGTGCGGATCGGCTACGGTTGGCCCGTCAACTGTGTCAAGAAAATCATGGATTTTATCATTTCTGTCATATCTGCTGATTCGCCGGCCTGTGGCATCTGCTGCTGACCCGCTCCAGTGCCTAGTGTCGGAGAGAAAAAGGCTCACGAAACGGAGCACAATAGATATATTCCAAAAAAGTGGTTGCGAGAGTGCGAGTGGGTGCAAGTGCGTGCGAGTGCGAAAAGTACAACGGCCTCAAGCTTATTATTGGAAGGACACTGTCTGAACTTGGTCCTATGCTGACGCACACGGTCTGGCTTTAGTACGAGGCAGCGACGTGCTGCATATTGCGGGAGCGTTGTCTCACCTTGATCAACGCTGACTCGCGCTGTCTGGGTTTGATACAAGGCTGTGACGCGCTGCATATTGAGGGGGCGTTGTCTGTCTGGTCAACATCTAGCGGAACTGAGAGTCTCGGTAGATTTCGGGCATTCAGTGGTTGCTTTCAGGAAGCTGACCTTCCTAATAATTTCATTTGAGACCACTGTTTTTGATCCAGTAACAGAATCGTCACTAGGCCGGGCTCAAGTCTCTTCCCCTCCCCCTGCAGATATTTCCCTTTGAGACATCGGTGAATAATTCTGTTGGCAATCTCATCTCACTCATACCGATGATTCGTGCTCGAGCACCATAACGCCTTGCACATCTTACTTTCTAGAGCGTTCTTTAGAGTTGGGACTGGTGAGAACAATCGGTTTGAGGAATCGCGTCTCAAGTGAGGATCTGCTGTGAGAGAGTGGATTTTATAGTGGTGTGGTGGTTTGTGTACCTCTGTGACTCATTCAGTTACACTAAGAGCCTCACTGATATCCGCAAAGTTTCTCACGTCAAGCTAGCCAGTGTACACAGCTCTGACGAGCAGAGTCTCCTGCCCCCCCCCCTAGGTGTGGAAATGGGACAGACTTGGTGACTTGTTCTTTAAAAGCTTGTATTACTGTAGTCTTGCGGTCAAGCTTTTGAACAGAAGGCTTTGATTGAAGACCTTTTCTATGTGTGGGCGCCATGGCAGTATCCCAGCCTGCATTCAGCGTAGAACGTTACATCCAAAAATGCTATTATTCCACGTCAGCCGTCGCGTGGTGTTATCAACCGAGTCGCCTCATTTGTTTACGGCAGTGAGGCATCAGTGACCACCCTGAAGTTGCTATCTCTGACAATGAGAAATAGGTGTTAAACAAAATTTCAAATGGAACGTCTAAGGGATATCCTGCAGAATTAAGAAGCGATTTCGGTGACTTGCCCGTTCGATGGTGTACGGAACGCCGGCGACTTAATGTGAACAGTTGTGTTTCGGATGAGCTACCTTTGAACTGTGAACCCTTGTCATGGGTTATTACTTTCGATGTACCAGAGATGTCGAAAATTCCCATGGCTTATTCGCTATGGACTGACCTGGAAAAATCTGATGATAGGTAAATTCTGGTTTTGTGTCTTGCTGAACGGTCGTGCAACTCTGTCTCGGTCCTTGGCTTCCTGCTCCATCCAATATGGTATACCAAAAGGTACGGTAGCTTCAGTCAGCCCTTTGTGAAGACGAAGGACGATCAGTACAGCTGTATTTATAGGGTAATCACGGAATGTTCCACAAGGTCGTGTTAGAATCTCCGTGAGGGGACGAGAAGCGTCGAGCTAAAGATGCTCGACCCAGATTGGCTGGCATTCTGACCAATCAGGGCATGCCTTCGTTTGGTCCGTAGCCCACACGTGACACATCCGTTCAATGGACATGCTGTTCGGTTATTAGGGGCGCCTGGCCTCCAAGAACTAAACCGACCCGGAAAACTCGGCCAAAAGCCTCGACCCTCTTTATCGATCCGTGAATCCGTGCAAGCTGACAAAACGACGCGTATGTGTAGCCACGAAAAGTGTTTGGCTGTTTAGCAATCTAATAGTTGAGGATGATTATCCTTTCCCCACGACTAATCATAGGTGAATTCAATGAAACCCCGCAATATACTACATGGTGTACTAACTGAGACACAACAAGGTCACACGAAGACTGACAATACGATACGTTTAGTGCGTTAAATATGTCGAGGATGTAAACTAATCACTGAAATATGTTAACGACCCTCCCTACCTTGTCCACCAGACTTAAATGTGGGGAACACCTGTACCAATACTGGTTCTAATTACAAGTTCTGTTGCAAAAGGTAGTCCTGACTGAATTGATTTCGAAATTGATTTCAAAATGAAGATACAATGGGCATTTTATCCGCAACGACAGTCACAGCCAACAAACTCCCCATTTTGGTCTAATGGATCGAAGATCCGCGTGAATACCGCCGAGCATCACCAGCTTAACAGACTTTACGTGAAATGATCTACTGAAAATAAGAACAGGAGTGCTGGTAATGTGACAATCTATCAGAAACTACTGTTGAGTTAGACCTTTCAGTTTGTTTGGCCGCGGTGCGAAGTAGACGAGAAAAGAACAACCATCGATTATTTTCGAACAGGGAACGTTGTACATAGCCCTGGTTCTGTAGATTTTGACCGCTTTCGTGGCTTCTACGTAGTACCCGAATGTGAAATCACCAACTGGAGAGTAAGTCGGAGAATGGTGAGAGTGATAAGGGCACCAAGTTTGTCAGATTGGGGTAAATAAATTTGATCGGTGAGGTAAATCATCTTGCCGGTCACCCGAGTCAGAGTCCACGGCACCCATGGTACTCGACTGGCAGAAACTACTCTAGATCGAGAGCAGGTCAGACAGTTTGCCCAGGACATGAACCTTAATAGCTCGCTTGTTACGTGTGTTCGCGCTTATTCGTATGTTCCACTTAGCTGTCCGCGCCGACTCACGGTGGTCCCCCACACATTGTTGTGTGTCAATATGCCGTTTGGCCTTGAATATGAACTTGTTTGTCGGTGTCCGAAGGTGAATCTTCTTCTATCCGGTTTTTCAGGATATCCAGGACTAGTTGCAAGATGAACGCCACGTGATTCAGCATCTTCTTCGAGACTCTGTCGCGGAATTTGACGGTAGCATTCTGGTCCCATTCCAAGATCGGGTTTGTACTTTTTAAAAAAACTCATTGGAATCACTTGAAGACTAACGGGATGAGCTTAAAGTGCGGCGAATGTTCAAAGTATCCATCAAGAGGCCTTGATCCGAGAATTTTGATCCTGTTCAGAACATACCCCTTTTCCTGGATTCAGACCCATGATGGATTAGCAGTACCAGGAAAGTAAAACCTCTTTTTCAGAAAATTGCTATCAGATCATCGTGAACGGTTATCACTGAAGCGCCATGGTTTCATATACAACTTGTTCCTGCACTGAGTCTCCGTACCCTAATGCAACAGAAGCTACAACCTTCGAATTGTTGATACCCCGAAATAGGCAGTAAGCAATCAAGCTGGCTACAGCAATAAAATTTGAGATAGTTTCCAATGGCTTTCATGCAAAGATAATCATATCACGGGATGCTGACCTCATGTGTAGGTAAGTTTTGAGTTCCAAATTTTCAAAGCAATTGGAGTCATATCTATGGTTAGCGTTTTGCTCCACAGAACTTTGTACGCCAGCCAGACTACCATTTAGGTACAACGGCACCGAGTCAATTACTTACCGATAGTTGCCAAGTATGACACCATCTGGATTGAGCATCGGGACGATTCGGAATACGTAAGAACGTCGTAAAAATTCAGCCTCAGAATTATTGCTGATCAGGCTGCGCATTAGGCCCAGAATGACCCAGCTTGAATTGGTTTCTCCAGGATGAACACGTGCAGTCAGGATAACCGCGATCTTTTCCCAGTCCGGCACACCTGAGCAAAACAGTTTGAGAGTTATTACTGCAATCGGCGTGGCGTATTATATAGGGTTCTATCGATTGCAGCCTTACTTCCTGCGTGATAGTGGGCGTCAACAGAGATGCTCAGCACATCCTCAGGGAGCTTCCCGAGTGATGTCAATGGCACTTAAACGCTTGTTACTATACTACTGGTTAAGACGAAGTAGTATAAAGTAAAAAACAAACCGGATCACGATGACCAGTGAGTTTTTCAAGATACGGTTTGAGAGTCACCACTACTCTCAAAATTCATTTATTTCTGAACATTAATGCTTTCAGAAACGGTTTTACTGGCTCGTTGTAGACAGTTATTGAAAATCTTCCAGTGGTTATCTGTTTTAATTTTCCCAGTGCCGTGTCTGGGTAAGTCATATGAGTCTGACAAACAGACGTTACCAAAAAACGCATTGGTTATTGGTTGAGTCAGAGGCTAATTTGCTTGTTAAAAGTTGACAAGAGACAAACTGTGATCTCGTTCCAGTTTGAATAATGTAACTTAACACTCTCGCAAGACTGTAGTTGAGAAACCACACCACGACGGAATATCTTTGTTCAACTGTCCAATTACAGGGAACGTATCGAGATGGGATAACCTATTGTGATTACCTTTCGCGAGTGAATGTGACATCCTTTATAAGAAATCATAAGAAATACTGCTGAATCCAAAGTATCGGTATTTGTTACACATTTTGAAATCATCGCAGGTAAGAAACTTCGTAAGAGCTTTTGCGCGAACAGACAATCATCAAGGCAGTAATCTCTATCAAACTTGCAGATGAATCCCATTGCAGTGAACATTTTCTACACTTTACGAATTGGTCGGATCTGCCGCTTTGGTCGGATCCTTGCTGACAGATGAAATGAACCGATTCACTCTAGATTATTTCACTTTGTCTGTTGAGCCCAGGTTGGAAAATCAAGTAAATAAATCTCTGTGTGTCAGCGAATTCACGCCTCATTTGTTCGCCATGCTTGTACGGAATGTGGCTTGACTTCCGGTCACATCGTTAATCCCGTAGATGGCCTAAATTAACTGAATGTGAATGCAAATTGTTATATCTGCTGATTCGCCGATCTGTGGTATCCGCTGCTGATCCGCTCCAGTGCCTAGTGCCGGAAAAAAGGACTCACGGAAGGGAACACAACCTATATATTTCGAACAAGGGAGTGCGAGAGCAAAAGTTACAACGGCCCCGCGCTATTTAAGGGGGACTTTCTGACATTGATCGAGGCTGTCTGATAGGCACTAGTGAACACCCATCAACATCGATCGTGCCTCTGTGAAAAGCCTGAGCGCTGATCACATTCGGTCGTGCTTCTGTGACGTGCAAGAACACTCATCAGCTTTTGCTGAATTGATTCAATAATTGACTGGCCTGGATGCTTTCTGGCTTCCCTGTTGAGATTTCGGTGGAGCAGTAGGCGTCTGGCGTTCTGAGGTTACTTTCAGGAATCTAAGCTTCCTGATACAAGTTATCTAACTGGCGCTTTGAGAGAAGATTTACATTCAAGTAACAATCAAATTTATGCTGTTAGTACTACAGAGCTTCCACTCTAAGCTGCACTTTCCACACTTTTCGTATGTGATCTGTTCAGCATATGACGCTTAGGTCTGGGCACTCCGAGGTCTCCTCTGGGGCTCTGTGCAGCTACCTACAGAAACAAAACTAATTAAAGACAACTGTGGCGTGCAAGTTCATCATCATCAACATCATCAGCATCATCTTAAGTAGTAAAAACCGCGTATTTGTTGTACACTGGTCATATCTGCCACAGTTTCGTTCGCTGGTGTGTAGTAAAAACCGCGTACACTGGTCATATCTGCCACAGTTTCGTTCGCTGGTGATTTAAGAAGATAGGGGGCGATAACTTCACCTTATAGGTGGCAGCTGATGTGATTGGTGCGCCACTACACGTTCGTCAGTGGGCTTTTCATTGGAAAGGTCTGTAGAGGGGAACCATGCATTGAAAGTAGCAGGTTGGTTGCATGCACGCCATTAACCTTGCCCGTGGGACATTTTTACCAGTATCCATAGCAATTGATGTGTTCCGACTGGGGAGCGCCATCGATGCAAACAGCAGTGACCAGTACAACCAAATTTGCTGATAACGGCCTTCACACTTCGCCTCCAAATTCATGCGACCACTCAATATCAAGATTATGAAGTTAATAAGTTTATCTAAAATGACGAATAAAAATCAGAACTGTTACTGAACTACCGCAAGGGCAGCAAGAATTGTTGCATGATGTAGCATTCTTGAAACCTCGGATCAATGGAGTCGCCAACTCGTAAAATCCAGGTCACCGTGGTGGCGCGATTATTGGCCCCGCGGGCAGCCCCCGGGAAACCTTTAAGTCTTTGGGCTCCGGGGGAAGTATGGTTGCAAAGCTGAAACTTAAAGGAATTGACGGAAGGGCACCACCAGGAGTGGAGCCTGCGGCTTAATTCGACTCAACACGGGAAATCTCACCCGGCCCGGACACTGTGAGGATTGACAGATTGATAGCTCTTTCTTGATTCGGTGGTTGGTGGTGCATGGCCGTTCTTAGTTGGTGGAGCGATTTGTCTGGTTAATTCCGATAACGAACGAGACTTTGGCCTGCTAAATAGTACGCCTGTCCTCTGTGCTCGTGCAGGTGGCGGTGCTCATTGCCTCTCTGGAGGTGATGGTGCCGTTCGCCGGCGGGTGCGGCGCAGGTGTCTACTTCTTAGAGGGACAAGCGGCGTGCCAGTCGCACGCAATTGAGCAATAACAGGTCTGTGATGCCCTTAGATGTCCGGGGCCGCACGTGCGCTACAATGACGGTTTCAACGAGTTTGGGATCCTAGCCCGAAAGGGTTGGGTAAACTGAACCATAACCGTCGTGACTGGGATCGGGGCTTGCAATTGTTCCCCGTGAACGAGGAATTCCTGGTAAGTGCAAGTCATAAGCTTGCGCTGATTACGTCCCTGCCCTTTGTACACACCGCCCGTCGCTACTACCGATTGAATGGTTTAGCAAGGTCCTCGGATTGGTGCCATTGTAGTTGCTTCGGCAGCTCGACCGGTGCTGAAAAGACGACCAAACTTGATCATTTAGAGGAAGTAAAAGTCGTAACAAGGTTTCCGTAGGTGAACCTGCGGAAGGATCATTACAGTACACAAAGCCCAAACACCTCAGTTAATCTGAGCATTTGGCACTTTTTTCCGTTTAAAACAGCAAGAAAGTGTTTGTCCTTCACATACGATGCTGTCTTCCAAAGAGGAATGGAGAAGGAAATTTTGACGTTGGAATCAGAAACGAAGACCTGAAAGTTGAATTTTAGATGGCGCGAAAGAACCCAGACGTCATGATGTATACTTCGGTGCAGTCAATGAATGAATGGGGCGAGATGGGTCAAGTGGTTAGAGCACGAATTTACTGACCGAAAGGTCCGTGGTTCGAACCCGACCTCTGCATCTCGACTTCCCCTGTCTAGGCTTGGGCAAACTGGCAGTATCCCAGCCCTCGTGCCTCCTTCGTGTGACATGGCAGCTAGGCACCGAAAAGGGTGCTAAAGCTGAATGAGTTTAGAGTAGTTAGAGTCAATGAATCGAGATAGACCCATGCTTTTTTCTGAAGTGGAACAAGAGGAGAATACTAGCAACCCGATTTCTCAGCCAGAAACAAAAAAAACCAAACTATGTTATCCGAAAGATACGGCGAACCGATTTCGACTGCGGCAGAGCAATCTTTGCTGAAGGTATCAACTAAGATTTCACACTATAAGTGAAGTCAGTCTACGGTGAAAGGTTAGGGAGCAGGAAACAGCTGTTGAGAATCTCCGGCAGCCTGCGTCTAGAGAAATTCATTCGTCATGCAAACTCGCATCTCCACTTCGTAGTTGAAAACAATACCACGGCCGGCTAAGTGACAGGTAAAATGCCTTGCTTCTTGACAGGATAAGCCCCACGGAGTTGACATCATCTCATCGCTCGCTTAGGTGGACTAACAGATCAGAGACCCCCGTTTGACGTCATGGAATGATTACTGATAATTAATGATTTCCGGCAATTTACTAGATCCTTTGGGGTCCTGGATTGTATGTTACATAACATCAAAACGAATGGCATGAGAACCGTGGATACCAGGTGAGGGTTGAAACCAGTTCATATCGTAGTCGTGCGCTAAGTATAGTACCAAACTCATAGTTAGAAGCAATTTTCGCGCAGCATTTAAACAAACCAGTCTTGGTCCATTGTTTAGGATGCGGAAATGTGAAAAATTGGAATTTTCGTTTCCGTTTGAAAGTAACAGAGAAAATTGAACCAGTCTAATCAGAGGAGGAATCTGTTGCACAATAAAACAGGATGCTGATCATTCAAAGAACTTCTGCGACACGCACACGTTGAAAAGTTGAACAGTTCCAGGTTGTATGGTATTCTTCAGGTGGTATACACCTGGTTCCTTTTTCCTGAAGCGTCCATCAAACCCAAACAGTCTAGACAGTTTCTCGGAGGGGTTCACCTGATAGTCTATCGAATGTGCAACAGTCACTAACAGCAATTTTGATCAGACGCTCATAATAAACCCAAGAAAAGACTCAGTTGGGACCTTTTCTGGACCATTTACACATTACAACGGTAAAACAGGTCACGACAGCAAGTGGGCTAGACGCCACTGGCATCTAGGTATTATGGAATAGTTTATGCTGGAGGAAAGCAACAGGTCTAAGGAACAGTCGACAGGATCAGTCGACTCAATCATAAACAGGAACTGCTCAACCCAATTCGCTATGTGTACAATAAATTTTGGATTGGACAGGCCTCTGAATTTGATCTTCCCTACTTGATGGATTGGCCGTAGCCTAACCCAGGAGCGAACTTGTCAGGCCCACAACACAGTGAAAAACTCATGGTTAGTCTGGAACTACCGAATTGTCGCCATTGGTATAATCGGACCGTGAAGCACTACACAAAGCACTGTCATTTATGAACGCATACTTTGAGACCCAGTGATATGGTTTCTTTGATGGTACAAGTGTAACTTTCGATACTACTGATGAGGCATGCTAGTAGTATGCTTTCACGTAAATCCGCTTTGCGTCTCTTGAAAAGTGAGATCTATTACGGAATTTGTGGAGTCGCATTTCCTTTCACTTGAGTACCAATCAATGAATATCCAAGCAAGTTTGGGAAGATGCGTTAAAGGAGAAGATAGATATTCAGTTTTTGCAAACAAGATGCATATGAATGTTCTGCTTCCCTGTCTAATAGTCTGAAACTGTTCACTTGGCATTTTCTAATAAATAACTCCGCAGCGGGGTGGCGCCAATGCCTGCCTTTAAGACTTGTTATTTGACTTCGTGCTTCACACTCCCGTTGGATTTGGTGCAACTTCCGAGCACATACACCATTCCAAAACTTTCGGCATCTCCACAGCCAATTTCGCAAACAAATCTCAAAACACGTGATGGCCCACTGGACTGACGAAAAACCATTCACCATGATCAGTTTCATGGCAAGATAACACACTTACCGGGATCCGTAATGGTTACTAGGAAACATGAATTTCCCACTCGGGTCTGACACATGATTTCACAGCAAACTGTTCCTTCAGGTAGTGCATTTGTTTTCGCTTGCCGCACCAGCTCCTTCAGATCGCTCTTCAAGTCAGTGAACGAGTAGGGATAACAGTAGGCCATGTAGCACAAATCATCTGCATGAGGGAACGTCTGTGAAAGACCAGGGAAAATTAACCAGCATCATTCAGAGAGCTTTGGAAAAGACCTGGACACTACGCAAAATACAACTTTTCTAATACATCAGGAGTTTTCTAAGCATCTTCTTGATATGTATCCACCTGGGTGGTGTAGAATATCATTGCTATCTAAAAACGTTCAGGTTGAAAACGTTCGTCTTTGGAAATGGCACTTTTGGTCAAAGATTTGCCAGGCCTCCTTCAAAAGGAGGCTTTGTGATATTTTACTAGAATTTATGCTCTCTACGTAGCTGCCTTTAACCTATTGGCAAAGATAGAAGAACGGCCTGGAACCCCAAGTTTGAACGTTTTCCGGTCACTCAATTGATTTTCAGAAGCCGACTTTGGATACTTCTTCGGATGTACAGTTTGAATGACCAACAGCTGTGCAGCCCGCTGGAATATTTTATATATA